TCTGCTCAAAAAGCTAGGACATCGCATTCAGGGACACCTACTGAATATACCCATTCAAGTTTGGTATCTATGTAAATCTTAGGATTTCAGTTTCAGGACCATCAATTCTCCTCAATGTCACTAAAGCGGTAAGCCGTAAGAGAGGCTTAAAACAAACCTGTCTTGAATTAGCAAATCTGCTTTCCACTCTGATTGGCTACTGACTTTTTCACACGTAAGCAATGCACAGATTCTGACGTAGCACATCTGCAAAATGTAAACATTAATGACTGCAATCATTTTGCGATCAGAGTAAATAAATTTTTTGTGATTTGGAAGATGATCCAGAAGGTCCGGAGATGTCTTTGAAAAGGAGGATGCCCTTAAAGACCACACAATTGATCAATGTTTGGACCATCATGACTCCATTATGGAAAGTTCTACCAGGGTAAACATGCAAAGTGTTTCATAGTTTTTCAATTTCTGCTCCCAAAGCAAGGATGTTGCATTCGATGACCCTTACTGAACATATCCACTCAAGTTCAGCATCTATGTAAAGCTTAGGATTTCCCCCTTCAAGACCACCTATTTTTCACATCGTTTTCAGTCATTCGAGCGCTTTAAAACAAACCTGTCTCACAACAACAGATTTCCTCTGATTGGCTACTGACTTCTTCAAGCGTAAACAATCCACAGATTCTGATGTAGCTCATTTGTTAGTGTCTTTGAAAAGGAGAATCCCCTGGAAGATGACGAATATGATCAATGTTTGGACCATCATGACTCCATATAAGCAAAGTCTTTCATAGTTTTTCAATTTCTGCTCAAAAAGCTAGGACATTGCAGTCAGTGACACCTACTGAATATACCCATTCAAGTTTGGTATCTATGTGAATCTTAGGATTTCAGTTTCAGGACCATCAATTCTCCTCAATGTCACTAAAGTGGTAAGCCGTAAGAGAGGCTTTAAACAAACCTGTCTTGAATTAGCAAATCTGCTATCCACTCTGATTGGCTACTGACTTCTTCACACGTAAGCAATGCACAGATTCTGACGTAGCACATTTGCAAAATGTAAACATTAATGACTGCAATCATTTTGCGATCCGAGTAAATCGATTTTTTGTGAATTGGAAGATGATCCCGAAGGTCCGAAGATGTCTTTGAAAAGGAGGATGCCCTTAAAGACCACACAATTAATTAATGTTTGGACCATCTTGACTCATTATGGAAAGTTCTACCAGTTCTACCAGGGTAAACATGCAAAGGATTTCAAAGTTTTTCAATTTCTGCTCCCAAAGCAAGGACGTTGCATTCGATGACCCCTACTGAACATACCCACTCAAGTTCAGCATCTATGGAAAGCTTAGGATTTCCCCATTTCAAGACCACCTATTTTTCATATCGTTTTCAGTCATTCTAGCTCTTTAAAACAAACCTGTCTCACAACAACAGATTTCCTCTGATTGACTACTGACTTCTTCAAGCGTAAACAATCCACAAATTCTGATGTAGCTCATTTGTTAGTGTCTTTGAAAAGGAGAATCCCCTGGAAGATGACGAATATGATCAATGTTTGGACCATCATGACTCCATTAGGGAAAGTTCTGCCATAAGCAAAGTATTTCATAGTTTTTTTAATTTCTGCTCAAAAAGCTAGGACATTGCATTCAGTGACCCCTACTGAATATACCCATTCAAGTTTGGTATCTATGTAAAGCTTAGGATTTTGGTTTCAGGACCATCAAGAAGGTCCGAAGATGTCTTTGAAAAGGAGGATGCCCTTAAAGACCACACAATTAATTAATGTTTGGACCATCATGACTCCATTAAGGAAAGTTCTACCAGGGTAAACATGCAAAGTATTTCATTCATTCATTCATTTTCTTGTCGGCTTAGTCCCTTTATTAATCTGGGGTCGCCACAGCGGAATGAACCGCCAACTTATCCAGCAAGTTTTTTAAGCAGCGGATGCCCTTCCATCCGCAACCCATCTCTAGGAAACATCCACACACACATTCACACACACACTCATACACTATGGACAATTTAGCCTTCCCAATTCACCTGTACCGCATGTCTTTGGACTGTGGGGGAAACCGGAGCACCCGGAGGAAACCCACGCAAAGGCAGGGAGAACATGCAAACTCCACACAGAAACGCCAACTGAGCTGAGGCTCGAACCAGCGACCCAGCGACCTTCTTGCTGTCAGGCGAACATGCTACCCACTGCCTCGCCCAAAGTATTTCATAGTTTTTCAATTTCTGCTCCCAAAGCAAGGACGTTGCATTCGATGACCCTTACTGAATATATTTGTGTGTTTGTGAGGAAGAGACACCAAAATGAACGTCTGCTTTCCATCCGCTTTCATCTGGCATGCCGTTTCCCTCCTCTTCTTCTCTCTCTTTCTCGTCCATGTGTGTCTCTGTAGCTCTTATTACTGGCAGATGGAATTGGTAGATTCCAATCAATGTTCTTCTTTGACTAATTACTCTGACAAAGATGGTGAAGATCCAGATGAATAGATGCCTGCTGAGCATGCCTGGCAACACTCAACACACGCATATGCCAAATATATCTTCATAAGCAGCTAGGAATCTGCAGTATAATGATTCTCTGTTAAACACTTACCAGGAGATGATCTGCTATGATGGCTTTGGATTTAGGTCATGGTAAAGAATCACTGCAAACTTCTTTTTTTTTACCCTTCTCTTAAGGGTAAAAAGACTAGCTTATGATTCTGCAGTGCTGTTTAGACGAATATTTCAATATTTCTTGAAATAATGCTAGGAGTGATGAGGATATGTTTGCAACTATACTTTAAGTCATGTCTATTCATGTAGATCAATGTTCTCAAACTCCTGGAGGGCCTTAGCTCTGCACAGTTTAGCTTCAACCACCTCACACCTGCTTAATAGTCTCTAGTAGTCTTGAACGCCTTGATTAGTTGGATCAGCTGTGTTTGATTTGTGTTGAAGCAAAACTGTGCAGAGCTGCGGCCCTCCAGGAATCCAGTTTAAGACCTATGAAATAGATCAAGGGTGCCCAAACTCAGTCTTGAAGGGCCGGTGTCCTGCAAAGTTTAGTTCCAACCTCAATCTGACACACCTGGGCAAGCAAATCAAGCTCTTACTAGACCAGTGGTGTCCAGACTCGGTCCTGGAGGGCTGGTGTCCTGCAAAGTTTAGTTCCAACCCCAATCCGACACACCCAGGCGAGCTAATCAAGCTCTTTCTAGGCTTTCTAGAAACATCCATGCAGGTGTGTTGAGGAAAGTAAGAGCTAAAATCTGCAGGACACCAGCCCTCCAGGACCAAGATTAAGCACCCCTATACTAGGCTTTCTAGAAACAACCTTGCAGGTGTTTTGAAGCAAGTTGGAGCTAAAATCTGCAGGACACCGACCCTCCAGGACTGAGTTTGAGTATCTCTATACTAGGCTTTCTAGAAACAACCTTGCAGGTGTTTTGAAGCAAGTTGGAGCTAAAATCTGCAGGACACCGGCCCTCCAGGACTGAGTTTGAGTATCTCTATACTAGGCTTTCTAGAAACATCCTTGCAGGTGTGTTGAGGTAAGTTGGAGGTAAAATCTGCAGGACACCATCCCTCCAGAATCGAGTTTGAGCACCCCCCTGCTGAAAAAATGCAGCTTAAACCAGCCTAGGATGGTTGACTGGTTTTAACTGGTCGACCAGCCTGGTTTTAGAGGGGTTTTGGCCACTTCCAGGCTGGTTTCCAGCCATTTCCAGCCTGCATGGTTTTAGCTGGACAAGCTGGGAGATGACCAGCTAAAATCAGCTTGACCAGCCTAGCCAGGCTGGGAGCCCAGCCAAAACCAGCTATGTGCAGCTTAAACCAGGATGGTCAAGCTGGTTTTAGATGGTGTAAGCTGGTCACTTTCCAGCTTGACCAGCTAAGACCAAGCCTGAAATTACTGGAAACCAGCCTGGATGTAGCCAAAATCCCTCTAAAACCAGGCTGGTCAACCAGCTAAAACCAGCCAACTAACCTAGGCTGGTTTAAGCTCGATTTTTCAGCAGGGCCCTATACTAGGCTTTCTAGAAACATCCTTGCAGGTGTTTTGAAGCAAGTTGGAGCTAAAATCTGCAGGACACCGGCCCTCCAGGACTGAGTTTGAGTACTATCTATCTATCTATCTATCTATCTATCTATCTATCTATCTATCTATCTATCTATCTATCTATATATCTATATATCTATCTATCTATCTATCTATCTATCTATCTATCCATCCATTTTTTTCAAAATAAAATGATTACTTCTGTTTAAATGCCAAAAACTTCACTTATTTTTAAGTCCAAAGAGAAATGGACTATTGTTTGTTTTCTTTGTATTATCATTTAGTGCTGTATTAATTGGTTACCGAGCAGCAATACATAACACTTTAAAATATAAGGAGTTTTCAAGTGATTTACTGAACTAGTGGTGTTTTGAAATTAATATATGCATAATTATCATAATAACTGTGATTATTCCTCAGACTCTAATTAATCAGCCAAAACCTATACTCATTCCATCCCTAAAACCCGCTCTCCAGTGCATTTTGGTAATGTCATGTTGAGGTTCATGTGTTTTGATCCAGTGTCATATACTACTTTTTATCTCATCACAAGCTCAAAATCCCATTTTCCCAAAATCCCCATTTGCATGTACCATCACACTTTTCACATGTACCACTGAGCTAATGAGCAGTAACAAAAAACCCAACTGGCATCTCGACAGCGCAATCGAGCTGAAAAACTGGTCTCGGGATCCCTCAGGTTCCTCCAGCGTCAGTTTCTTTCCAGGTTTATTGAGTCACACTTGTAACCGAGCCCCGCTCCGCCACCTGAAATCCAATTCATGGCGGTTTGTGCGAGAGAATTACAGCCACCTACGCTCGGCTCCAATGGCATTTTGCAGATCGTAAATGACCCCACGCAATAATACAACCTTATTAATGAACGTATTAGGAGCGATGCATCCCTGGAGCCTGTTCCACTAGGGAAAGTCATTCTTACCCGGTTTGTGAGCTTGGGTTGAATAAAAGACTGAGGAGGATCCACACGCAGCAGACGCATGACGTGAGCTTGTGGAAAACGCCAGCCATAGCACTCTGAAGTCCTGAAAGCCTGCAGAAAAAAATAAAGATGAGAGGAAGCAGGGTGAGATCTTTCACAATATGGCATAAAAGCCCTGCCATATGGAGACTCAATTCTGAAAGTCAAATACTAGAGCTATTCTGCTGTCGGATGTACGTTTTTGACTCTTCTAATGCATAAAATTGAGTAATGCTTTATGATTGGTTACAATTAATCGCATCTGAGATGAAAAAAAATATGTATTTTGATAAGAAATATTGTGTATAAGCATGTCATTATGTTTAAAGGGCTCCTAGTTTACCCCTTTTTCAGGATTTAAGGGAAGTCTTTTGTGTCTCCAGAATGTGTCTGTAAAGTTTCAGCTCAAAACACCCATCAGATTATTTATTAGACCTTTCAAAATATTGAAATATTGAACACAGTGTAGCTGGTTTTGTTGCATGTGCCTTTAATGCTGGTTCTTCCCATCCACTTTTTCCCCATGTGCCTGTCTCAGGGTGCTTTCACACCTACACTTTTGTTTGGGAACGTGTCTCGTTTGCCCAGTTAGTTCCGCGCCAAAGTAATCGCTCCGAGATCGCTTGAATGAGGTGGTCTCGACTCGATTGAAATGAACCCTGGAGCGGTTCAATTGCAGTGAGAAAGCGATCCGATCCGAGCGCGGTTATATCACAGTGTTTTATGGATATGTAATAGGCATACGGCTATATGAAGAGAGTATTAGGAGTAGGGCGGGAAGTTTCGCGAGTCTCCGGATGCCCGCAAACGAGTGATGATCTCCCGGTAATCTCACGTCTCCCTCCCGGTCCTCAAATAGGCATCGTCGCGCACCCTTCTCACCCCTCCCCACCGCATCTCTCCTCAGACACGTCGCGCACACCCTGTCAAACACCACCAAACCACCACCTCTCCTGACAGCTGAGCGGGACGCTGCAAAATAAACCCTGACACTCTGACCAATGTGAGGAGAGTTTACTCACACGTGACTTGTTTTAGCTCTTTTGGTCCGATTAGAAACTTTGCAGTGTGAAAGCGAACCGCTCCAAGAGCAAAGAGCAACAATGTAACAATTGTAAACTCTGTTTCGGAACAACTGAATCGATTCACAGGTGTGAAAGCAGCCTCAATCTCTGCCTTGGCTGCATCAGATAAACAGCACAGTGACAGACATGAAGCAGATCTCACGTAACGTTTGTGAGAAATACCACAGTAAGAACTTTCCCAATGATTATTTGATGTATTTGTTGTGGGGTTGCAATTAGGAGTCACACACAATGTCATTTCAAAGTTCACACCCACACACACACACACACACATGCAGCACGTGCATTTAACTTTGCACTGTTTTTGCATGCAAATGTGAAAGGATACAGGTTAATATCCCCTGCTGCATGGAGATCTGTTGTGTTAATGTACAAAATAAACCTGATTTAACATGCACAAACTGGAATTGAAGCATCTTCTTTTATAACTGTGCTGATATGCGTCTGTGGTGACGAAGAGGGTAAAAATGGCTGTATTTCATAACATGCATGCACTGTTTTAAAGATGTTTCAAACTTATAAAACTCCTTCTTGATCACATTCGATGACGATTGATGATCACAGAGCGCTGAACAGATCTTTTAATCTCGGTTGCTTTGTGCACGTTGTGTCTTGTTGATATGATTATACGTATTACTATGGAGACATGTTAATACTAGGGATGTCCTGATCAGTTTTTTTTGCCCTCGAGTCTGAGTTATTTGATTTTGAGTATCTACCAATACCAAAACCTGATCTGATACTTCTGTAATACATGAAAAAAAAAGAATAAAGAAGAGTGAAGAAACAGATCCAGAATGTTCCTTAATATTTTATTTAATTCATCTTATTTTAACATTCAACATTTCTGTAAATAAACAGAGCACTTCTGTGAGGTAGCTTGAACAATTAAGTAATACATTTCATCAATTCTTCACTTTTTGGACTTTAGTGCAACAGTAAACATAACGCAATTGGGAATCCCAAGATTACATATGTCACAGTTTGTTATGGCAATTTTGTCATTATCAACTTTATAATACCTCCAGACCCCAGACATGCTCACGCTTTCCGCTTCAAGCTGCTTCCGTGTTCTACTTTGCCAACATTTAACTTATAGCGTGTCTGAAACAAAGTGATGTCATGCCGCTTGCATTGCTGTTTCTGTCAAGAAGAGTCAAGAAAGAGGTCGAACTCTGTGCCACCGCATAACTTTAGATGTGTTGAAAATAATTATATATGATTTCTTTTTTAAATATTACCCAAATTATGTTTAACAGAGCAAGGAAATTTTCACAGTATGTCTGATTTTTTTTTTCTTCTGGAGAAAGTCTTATTTGATTTATTTCGACTAGAATAAAAGCAGTTTTGAATTTTTAAGGGCAAAATTATTAGCCCCTTTAAACATTTTTTTTTTCGATAGTCTACAGAACAAACTATCATTATACAATAACTTGGCTAATTACCCTAACCTGCCTAGTTAACCTAATTAACCTAGTGAAGCCTTTAAATGTCACTTTAAGCTGTATAGAAGTGTCTATAAAATATCTAGTCTAATATTAGTTACTGTCATCATGGCAAAGACAAAATAAATCAGTTATTAGAGATGAGTTATTAAAACTATTGTTTAGAAATGTGTTGAAAAAATATTTCCGTTAAACAAAAAATGAGGAAAAATAAATAAACAGGGGCATATATATATAATATGTATGTGTATGTATATATATATATGTATGTATGTATGTATGTGTATGTATATACATATATATATATATATATATATATATATATATATATATATATATATATATATATATATATATATATATATATATATATACATATACATATATTCGAGTCCTGATCAGGAAGTAATGTCCGATTCAGATCGAGTCTGAAACCACATGATCGGGTCGGATTTCCGATCACGTAATCCGATCTGGACGACCCTTGTTAATACAGGGCTGACAGTCAATTCATTGGGTGGGGAAACTGCACTCCTATGTCACATTGTGGAGGGCCTCAAAATCTAAGGGATTTGGATCCTAATTTAACGTCAGGAAATTTAAAACAAGAGACTTTATGGCTGTTTCTGCGTTTTTCAGTGGTCGGGTGTTCTCATGTTCTCATGTAACGTCATCATCAGCTGCCAAAGTTCAGTTCCAATCCTCAAGATCGCAAGAACAGAGGACGCGTGTTATCGAGCGTTGATATCGCGGACGCATCGATGCAGACTATTATTAAAGTTCAGAAATATAACTTGTTTATCTTTCCCTAAATGAAAAGATGAAAGTAAACATGACCATGGACATCTTAGTAAAGGAATAAATACATTAACAGCGTTTATTTGCTGAAATTCATATTAAAATCTGTTTTATTTATATTGTGCAACAGATATTTATACTGTTTTTATGCAGAGTATGTATTTTGAAAAGGGGAAAAACAATAGACCATTGTATGAATCTGTAATTTTTAAATAATTTTCTATTAAAAATGCTTGCAGGTCATGTGACCATCAGATAGAACGCAGCGTGCCATTTTTCACAGGACGCGTTCTCTGTTCTCGCGGTCTCCCGAGTTCATTCTTCCGAGGACACCTGGCAAGACCGGTCTCCACAAGAATGCAAGTCCGTCTCTCTGCGTTCCTGGAATTGAGAAACAGCCATTGTGTTTCTATCACTCCAATATGACAGTGGACACACTATTCCTGCTCTCAGTTCTGTCCAAACAGCTTACAAAAGTTGATTTTCATCATAGGTGCCCTTTAAAGTCCACATGAAATCAGAATCATATTGATTTTGTTAGCTCACATTGCTAGTTTTGTGGTGAACAATTCATCTGCGCATGTCATCCAGAAAACTGTCGGTGATGTGCTTCAGAAGAGAGGAAAACAGCCTCATTTACAGCACTGGACATCAAAACATCCCATCACTGCATGGAAACATGATATATAAACTAATTAAAGTCGTACAGTAAAAAATACCAAGACAGACTTGTAACCCAGAGGTCACGATTCAATTCCCAGAAGCAGAAGAAAGTGTATAAGTGAATGGACAGATATTTATTCCTCCTTCAATACCTGTGACTGAGGTGCCCTTGAGAAAGACACCAGACCCCTAATTGCTCCCTTGGTGCCACATCAAGTGTGAGTGTGTGTGTGTGTGTGTGTGTGTGTGTAAGGGCTGCACCGACATTGGAAAAATCTAACATTGCGATATTTTATTCCTCTGAATATATTGTGCGAGTTGAATGCAGTTTCACCAGATGGCCTGAATATCTGTATGTGGAAATAATGAATCATTTTAGATTGATTGGAGTGATACGAGCGGCACGACGGCTCAATGGTTAGCACCGCCACATCACAACAAGCAGGTCGCTAGTTCGAGTCCCGGCTGGGTCAGTAATTATTTCTGTGTGGAGTTTGCATGTTCTCCACATGTTGGCTTTCTCCTAGTGCTTCAGTTTCCTCTACAGTCCAAACACATGCAGTGTTCGAACTTCCATAGAACAAGAACAAGCCCTGCCCTCTTAGTAAACTGAACCAACCAAAGTGTATCGAACTTATCGAAACCATTAACTTTGATTTATGTGTGAAATAAAACCTAATCTGCTGCTTATTAATAGTTATCAATGTCGTAGTTGGGTTTAGGTCTTGGTTACACTTTAAAAACTGTTTACTTAAAAAAGTGATTAAACATGCTGCCGAAAAAAGTTGACTTTACTTTAAAAAGTGAGTAAACCAGTAACTGTTAAGTAGATTTAACTTATATATTAAATGTATATAATATATTTATTCTGCACATTTCAGTTCATTTACTTTTTATTTTAGAACAGTACATTTAATCTCTTATTTTAAGTACAGTCAACTAATAATTTTAAAGCAACAGGTTTACTCACTTATTACGTAAAATAAACATTCACACGGGGCTTCAGCATCAACGCTTGACTGAAGGCGTGTCTGAAGTTGGGGCTGAAGCGATCATCATAGAAGCGTCAGCCAATGAAATT